GATCCGAATTGAGAACAAAATATCAAGGGATTGTCTCAAAAGTCAACTGAGGATATCTGCTCGTCGATCACTTGATGTGTGTTTCATTCTTATTTATTATTGCATAAGTTAATAACAAATGAAATGAACAACGCCTAAGGCAAGCGCATGATCTACATAAATAAATTAAGCGCGGCTTTACACAGGGCGCGCCCAGGCCGAGCACAAAGAAACCATTTTGCCAGCCTTGGGGCGACTACCTGTGTGTGTGTGTGAGTGAGACAAAAGGTTACCCCCCCACAAGTGCCGCCCAGGTAAAGCAAAGTGAAGGGTAGCCAGTTGCAATTGCAGCAGCAGCAGCAGCAACAGCAGCAGCAGCGACAGCCTTGAGAGCTACTTAGCTGCCATGACCAAGTTGATGTTGAATTATGGCCAAGTGTTATTTAAATTAATTTCTATTTTGTATAACTTGAACTAAATAGAACAAACTATGCAAATGCATGGCAGCACACGGTGCTCAGGTGTTCAAATCGACTAACTCACCAACTCACCAACTGACTAACTGGCTGACTGACTGACTGACTGACAGAGTCGCGACAATTGTCTGTGTAATCTATTCTAATCGCATTATGGCTATGGCTCGAGTGGAAGCCAACAAGGGGCTAGAGCATAAGTGCACAAAATCCACATGGATACACGCTCAGATACACAGCTAGAGCTATAGATACAACTACAGCTAGAGATACAGATACACAACGTTCTCGTTGATGCCGGTGTGCGTGGGCTAAGCTGTCACAGCGACAAGACTTATTTCTGCTTATTTTACATCGCTCGTTAATTATTTTTCTTCATTGTATTTTTTATTTGTTATAAGATTGTTTATTTTTTTTTTTAGTTGCGAATAGATCGCAGTTCGTGACGGCGCAGTTTTGTCTTTATGTTCGTTTGCATTGCATTTAATTGTCGACATTTCATGCCACAATAAATTGCAAGGTGAAATATTTCTGACACCGCACTAAAACAGATCTAAGCCAACTTTTATAGATATGTATATATATGTATATATATATATATTGCAGTACAGTTCGCAGTCTGTCTCTTCTCTTGCTGTCTGTTTATGCAAATGCCAAATGCAAAATCCTGCAGAACTGTAGCAATCCGGCGAATATGTCAATTGTTCCGGGTTATTGCTAAAGGTTGCACGCTTTTTCTACTCATTTTCAGCTGCGCTTTTCCAATTAGAATGCCAGCACGGAAATTTGAGCTTTTACCAACTGGATTTGTCTAGCCGCAGCTGCCGCAGCTTACAAGGCAACCAGACGGAGTGCCAGCAGCTGATAAGGAATGTGAAACGGAATGGCGTTCGAAAGCAGAGTCTCTCAATAGATTCTCTGATTAGCTGCTATTTGGCATATTTATGAAAGGTCTCTACACTCTAAAGAACATTTTAAATCTTATGAGAGACTATCTCTATGAATATCAGACTGTGACTGTGATTCGAACTCTGACTATGACTCTATGACTTTGGCTTGGATTGCCAAATTAAAGTTTTTGGGCTAGATGCTATCGCAAGCCATTAACCTTCATCAATTATGAATATTCAAGCTGAAATGTATCGATAAGCATATCTATCTTAGTTTCCAGGTCTTTCACAAAGATGTTGTCCTAATCAGAAAGATTTGACTTAAAACTAAGAAAACTATTCTCTTCAGTATTCAGTATATTTTCCATAATTAATATTTGCTTAAGGGACGATAAATGAAATTGATTAGTTAACTTCATTTCAATTTGATGAGGTTTTCTATATAAAAAAAAAAACTCAACAAACAGAACTTTACTGTAGGCCTGACTCAGTTTGCCTCAGACTCACATTCCGTAGCTCAAATAAGCTTATAGTTTAGTTAAATCATGCAACTAAATTTGCTCATAAATTAGCCATAAATGATATGCCATAGCCATAGAGCCAGGCCCCAGTATAACTCACATCTTGACTCAACTATGAGGCACATTAGGAAAATGAAGTAAAATGAGGCACTATTCAATTTTGACTCGAAGCAGGCCTTAAGCATTCCCAGAGCTGTTTGGACAGCTCACATAGCACAGCACGCCTAACCAGAGAGCATTGTAACCACACACCCACACCCACACTCACACACCCATAAGCTAAAGTGCCCAGTCCAATGTCTAGGCACTGAACTCTGTCAGACTCTTGGCCCGATGTCTTGGCCCGTTGGTGGCTGATGGGCTGATGGGCTGATGGCCGATGTCTTCTGCTTCGGCTACTCATTATGCAATGCACGCACTCACAATTATTCTGTGGAAAGACATTGCGCCAGCTCAGCCAATTCAGTTGACTCAGGCAACTCATTTTAATTTGTATAAGAGCCAGGCGACATTTACGCGACTCGAGAATGCTTGCATCGCAAATCGAGCGACAGCCGCAATCAATGCACTCGCAGAAACTATCAACTACATAGAGCTGATCGAAAACAAAAAACCAAAAAAAAAAAATAAAAATAAAATAAAATAAAATAAATAATTAATTGAAATTATACAAATGATTGTACCTCTTTGTTCTTAATACACTTTAAAGAAGTTTTATATATAGCGAGCCTCGACTAGGGAACTTAAAAGAATCTTGATATATTAAATAAACATAAACATAAATGTTTTTTTATAAAATATGTATTCAAACAAAAAATAAGCGAGTCAACAAAATATATGAAAAAATGATTAGCAAAGAATTGAAGAAATGCAAGTGTTCTTTAATTAAAATATATATTTTCCACAAATTAATAAAACTCAACTACTATACAAAATTTAAAAAAAAATCCAATGACTCAGACTAAAATATAATACTGAAATAAAATATTTCATTACATGTTTAATCAGAAGAAGCTGAAGTTAAATTAAATTTAAGAAAGCCTAAAAAAAAAAAATAAAAATACAAAAAAAATAAAAAAAATTCAGAAATAAAAAAAAAATTATAGTAAATGAAATTACTAATCAATTTAAGTAAACAATACACACCCAACAGCATATTGGACATATTTAGTATGCTTGGTGCGGCCGCAATTGCACACACATTTTTCGCTCAGTGTAGAGGCAACAATTTCGCATGGTGGTTAACAATTGCAATGGTGTTGTCGCTGGCAGCCACACCCCAAAATATGCCAAATGCCAAGCCAAAAGCTGATTACGTTGTGTAATGAGTTTGATTGATTTTCAAGTATTATTAGAAGAGGTACGAGAGCGCGACCGCAACAGAAATGGCCAAAAGGGACAGCTCTTGGCGGTCAACGAGAAGTCGAGCTGGTCGTCAAGGAGCTGTAGAAAATGTGCCTCGATGCGATTCTGCAGTTGTGAAAAGTTTTACAAGTGCGCGGCAAATATTTATGTCATGTCAGCTTTTCTTGCTTTTCCATTTCTTTTTCCCATTTTTCCATTTCTATTTTTTTTTTTTTTCCTGCCTGCACTGCGAAAGCGCTTGCATTTTTAATTGTTGCAGTATTTATTTTATTATGTCCATAAATATAATGAGGCATGTGGACGCCGAGTGTCGCGCAGCTTCTGTGTCAGTAAAACGCGCGAGAGGCCAGCAGCAACAACAACAGCAACAACAACAACGAGTTGGCCAAGCAGCAGACACATTTCCATCAAATCAATCAAAAATGGTAAATACAAGTTTTTTTTTTCCTATATACACACATTTATATATATATATGTATAGCTTATATAGAGCTTAAGTAGGTCCAACAAAACTAACTGCTGCGTCTCTTGATGTGCGTATGTCTGTCAAATGCTGCTGCTGCTTCTGCTGCTGTTGCTGTTGCTGTTGCATTGGAATGCACTTTCCGAGTGAAATGCCAGCTTGACATTGTTGCAGCTAGTTGGTGTTGCTGTTGTTGTTGCTGCTGCTACTGCCATGCCATAGTTGACAATCATTTAGAATCACTTCTTGCAAAATGAAAGCATCTTTTGAAAGTTGCTGCCAGCGTTTGATGCCTCCTGCTAGCTACTGTAGCTGCTTCTGCTGTTGCTGCTGTTGTTGTAATTAAAACGAAATGCCATAAGACAAATGGAAAATGTAACTGGCAAGTGTAGCAGCAGCAGCAGCAGCAACAACAACTGCAACAACAGCTATATGATAGACAATGCAAGCCATTGCAGACTCTCACCTAGTGACACTCATTTGTGCCTGCTGTCAGGGCCACAAACACAGCTACATACCTTAGTACACAAATGCGTGTTTGTGTGTGTGTGTGTGTGTGTGTGTCTGCTACTTTTGCTAATTAAAAGTCAGATGATGGCTGAAATTTCGATCTGTGTGTTTGTGAATCTGGGGGGGCAACAGGCAAAGGCCTAACGCTAATAGCAACTGCCAAAAATATTATCAGCCTCTATGCTTTGGGGCAATTGCGCAAATTATTTTAACACACAAACAAGCACAAATACACACACACACATACATACTCAGACACACACTTGTCTATTTTCAGTGTTGATAAGCGCAAGTGCATAGGTTATCAGTTGAGCAGCTCGCCCACTCGCACTAAAAAACACACGCTCCAGCAGCGCATAGATACTTTTGTATCTGTAGCGAGAGCACTTGCAGGCCATTTAATAGATACTTTTGCATGTGCAGCTAGACAATTTGCAAAGTTCATCTAATAGATACTTTTATATATATAGCTGCAGCTCTAAATGGACTATTTATATATACTTTTGTATCTATCACTAATAGATACTTTTGTATCCTATCTGGTAGATACTTTTGTATCTGTAGCTGCTCTATGAAGACTAACTTATAGATACTTACGTATCTATAGCTCTGCAGCTCTCTATGGTGACTGTCTATTCGATTATTTAGCCTCTGCAGCTAAAGACCTATATAGATAATTTCTTAGCTGCAGCTGGATTTCAATATATCTTTAGCTACAACTCTCTTTAGTCTGCCTGTCATCTGTCTATATAGACAGGTCTCAGATACCATTCGTATAGACAGTTTTTTAAGCACTCACCTCGCTGGCATTTGTCTGGTATAACATTTTCTCATACTCCATATTTGCAGCTTTGTTTTATCTGTTATTTGTGTAATGTCAATTAGAACTGTGAGAAACAACTTGTTGATTTGAATCTCTTTTGTTTTTGCAATTTATTTTCTTGTTTTTCTTTCTTTTTTCTCTGCTTTGTATCTGTGCGAAAGTCTTGCACTGTCTCGCTCTAGCACGCCACGGCTAAGCGCTCTCTGTCTCTATTTCTTTCACTGTTTTGATTTTACTTGTTTTTTTTTTTTTTCGTTTCTTTTTTGTATTTTCAAATGTTGATGAAATAGTTTTGTTGTATTTCTTTAAGCTTGGCTTGCTGCATATTTAATTAATTTCTTTTTTGTTTTTGATTATTTATTTATTTAATTTATTTTATTGGTTTTTTTATGATTTTTTCGCTTTGCTTTTGAGGCGAGTTTATTGTGTTTCACAGCATTTTATTGTTAAAATTTCCACTTGCAAACTTGTTGCTCTCTTTCACGCACACACACACATGCTTTCGCGCGGTCGCTCTTTCGCTCTCGCTTGCTCTTTCTCTCCCTCTGTCTTTCACTCAACTTTGCACTTGCTTTCTCTCTCTTTTATTATGCTGTCGTCCGCTGTGAACCGTTCACAATGTCTTCACGCTCATTTCTGTGCGCCAGCTTTGCGCCGATCGTGCTGCTTACCTCATGCGCCGTTAGCTTTTGAGCCGCTAACCGGTTTCGAAAGCTTTTGTGCTATGCGAGCTTTGGCTTTGTTGTCAGCCACATGCAAAAAGCTTTCCATGGCAAATCGATCGGCAAATCTCTTACGCTTTTGCAATTGATTCGAAATAATCACCAAGACTTAAACAACAACAACAACAACAACAACAGCAATGGCAATGCTTTATGACTGCACACGCCCAATACACTGAGAGAAGGCGTACATATGAAATATTAGGTTAAATTGTAGAAGAGTTACTTTTACATTGAGTTAGGCTGTGCCATTTTTATTGAATATACATATATTGTAGTGCATTTCGGTTTAGTTTATAGACTTTTTTAAATATATGTATACATTTAAATTTAAATATATGTATATTTTGTAATTTATACACATTTTTTTTATTTATTTAAGCCATTTTTTCCATTTTAGTTTATGTTTAAGTCATATCTGTTAATCTCAAGGAAAACAAAATATAATAAATATATAAGATAAATTTTGCAATATGGTTTATAAAATAATCTATGATATAAAATTAATTTTTGAATTAATTTCTGTGCATCAGCTATTTATTAAATTAGTTTTATAATCAAGCAAAGACTTTAATAAAATTAAAAATTAGGTATTGTCCGTTCCTAATATGTTAGCAATTCCTAATGATTTCAACAGATGGTATCCATTAAACTGTAGAAAAGCTTTACATTATTAACTTTTGCTTCTTCTACTTCTTAGAACAATTTGCGTTCTTTTCAACATGACTGTGCTCTCAAATGCTATTCTATGAAGACAGTTTTCATCAGAAACTACTCACAAATTATGCACGCTCACTCCCTCTGATTGCTTATGCTATATTGAAATAGACAACTTTGGCATGATTTCGCCGAGTGTATGAGCATGTGAGCTGCCAGTCATGCAGGCATTCGCCTCGCTTTCAGTTTGCGGCGACTCGCCGCGGGGTGCAGCCTGGCCGCAAGACTCTGTCAACGAGGCAGTGGAAACTCCTGTCGCTGGCTGCATGTGTGTGAGTGTATGTAGCTATGTGTGTGAATGTGCATGTATGTGCACGCATGTTGTTGTTATTTTGTGGAACATTATCGTTTCCGCTTCCGCTGCATAAGACTCAATGCACAACGGCAACTCGCTTTAGCGGAAACAGCAAAACACAATTTCGAAAATCTCTTGACATTTATATTTCATTGCACAATGACAATTCTGCAAAATTTTGACAAGTCATAAAAAGCACATGACAACGATGCAGCGATGATAGCTACAATAGCAGGCACAACTCCTGCGCCAACTTCTACTCCTCCTGCTCCTGCTCCTGCTCCTGCTGCTGCTGCTGCTACGGCAGCTCCAAGTTCAGCTGCAACTTTCCCAGCAGGACATCGACATCGAAATGGAATTACGCGCTGCCCAAATTCTCGATCTCATTAAATTTTTAAACTGTTTTTTCCATTGTTTCTCTTCTCAGCTTCAATGCTGCCAACTAAATACTTGCGCAGCCTTAGCAATGCTTGCACCAGCAGCAGCAGCAGCACGGCCAGCAGACATAGCACATCCAGGGAATGGTAGCTACAGAAACTGAATTTGTGAAAAAAAACAAAAAAGAAAAATAGGAATATTTAATTGAAATTTGTATAGCAAAAACTTTTTAGAAATATATGTAATATTAGCTATGTGTATCTATCTGTACTATATATGTAGCATATATACATATATAACTATTCTATATCTATATAATATCTATATATCTATTCTATATATACAATGTATAAGTGAAAGTTCTTTCAATATGAAACAAAATCTACTGACTACAGAATCAAATACATTGCATAGGTATTAATTGCATTCCGGATATATAATACATATAGGCATTTCTGACTGATTTTAGATAAGATAAACAGTATCTTCCTTTTTAAAATTTTAGATTTAATACTGTATACCATTCATCAGACATTAATATTGATATTTATATGGAATCTTTTCATTTTTTTCCATAACCATCTATCCATGCTCTCCTGACCTATCTATCTATATCCATATTTAACTGCCCAAAAATAGAACTCACATCCTAAGCAATTAAGGAACTAACTACAGCTAAAACATGCTCTCTATGATATTTCATCTACAGGAAATGGATGTTCGATTCTAAATTTAGGCAGAGATTCAACAAAGGAAGCCCTTGGCAAGTGTACCTCATATGCCTGCCCGGATGCTGTAGATGCTTGGCGCCCTTGTGCCGTATCACATACTCCGTCCAGTAGACGGCCTGCCGCAGGGGCGTGGCCAGCTGGTCATGGATCAAAGCGCGCCGCCGTCTAAAATGTAAGTGGAGGCTGTTTGAACAAGGAAATGCGCTTGGATGGGATTCACATGGCAGCTGTAATACCTGACGGCGCGCCGATAGCCATCATTATGCAGAACATCGTAGATGGCACAGTAGAGAGCCTCCTCGTCCAGGTGGGCCAGCTGCAGCTGCCTGGCATAGCCGTGGCGCTGGGCCTGAGCGGCATTCGCGTCGTGGTCGCAGAAAACGGGCAGCACAAGCAGCGGCACGCCGTGAAAGACGGCCTCGTGCTGGCTGAGCAGGCCGCCGTGTGTGATGAATAGACGGAGTCGCCGATGGCCGAGGATGTCCTGCTGGGGCAGCCAGGGGCGGACGAGCACGTTGGCCGGCAGCTGGGGCAGCTGTTCGCTGGCATTGCCCGCCCACGTCCACAGCACGTGCTGCTGCGGCAGGCGCGCAAAGACCGCGACAAACAGCTCGCACAGCCGCGCCGGCAGCCGTGCCGAACGGACCGAGGAGCCCATCGAGAGGTAAATAACGCCGTCGGGCGCCGCCTCCATAAACCCGGACAGCTCAACGTCCAGCTGGCTAAGATTGACAGCGGCGCGGCGGCAGTGCAGGCAGGCCACCTCCGCCACATTGGGCAAGTGGGCGCTCGGGTAGCGCACGCTCGGGTGTGAATTCTGCAAAATGAACGAAACGTCACGGCCCAGCACATAGGGATGCGGCACATCCTCGCCGAGATGATGGCGCAGCAGGCGATGCACACGTTGCATGCAGAGCTGAAAGGCAGGCAGCAATGGCTTAGTCCAAGCCACACACTCAGTAGGGAGAGTAGGGATGGCAGAGAGAGAGAGAGGGAGAACTGGACAGTCTCTGGCCACTAAGCATCATTTAATCAGGCTGATGCATGATAAATCAGGAGCCAATCATGGTCAGGTGATTCCGAGCAACGCTCGTTGCCACTTGACGTGCGAACTACACAGAGAGAAAACAAGTGGTAGCTAGCCAAAATAAAATCTAATTTATTTGATATCGAGAAACAATGTTGGAGAAAATATAAATATATATTTATATTTATATTTTCATGTAAAAATAAATACATATCGAAACAAAAAAAAAAAATTAAAAATAAATATTTTACATAAAAAAATTGAGTTTCCATGCATAATTAGAAATTATTTTGTAGGTAAACATATATTTAAAAATTTTAAATATAAAATTTTGAACCAAAAATATTTATTAATAAAAATTTTTTTTTTATGTATATAAACTCTTCAAATTATAGCTGAAGAATATTGATAAATAAATAATTTTTTCAATGTATATAAAATATTAAAATTATAGCCAGAAAAAATTGATAAATAAAAATGTATAAACTGTTGCCAAACAAAAAAAAATTTTTTTTAATCTGTAAAATATCTTATATTTATCTGTATCTGAACCTGGGTCCATTCAACCGATTCCGGGAATTGTGAAATATGTGTTTTAAAATCAAAAAATAAAATTGATATGTGACTATAAATAATATTAGGTACTACTCGTATATCACATTGAATCTGTTATATGAAATGAAATTGAAAGGAATAACAAAATTTTTGGCTGTGCACGCATGCAGCATACGAAATTGGTCTTAAATCAAGGCAAGGATTAATGCGTTTGCTAGACGGCGTGCATGCCACTGGGGCATAGTTGAAAAGACAAGCAAAGGCATGAAAGATAGAGAGAGAGAGAAGCCAAAGGGACAGAGACAGGGCCAGGGAGAGATAGAGGGAGAGGGAACTGTAGGCCAATCGGCTGTCTGTAGACATGAACAGTCTGAATTGAACTTAACTGGATACTCACCCAGTGCAGCAAATCGGCAATAACATGAGTTAAACAATTTGCCACACGCTGCAAGAAGTCCATGGGCAGTGTCCAAGTGCCAAAGACGTGAGGCGTGACAGCATACGCAACCGGATTGCCGGCCAACGAGACGCTTCCGGTGTAGAAGGCCACCGTATTGATGTAGATGAATGCCGTTACATTCAACCGATGCACAATGCCCAGCGCGCACTCCGGATATGCCCCGTCCACAATCGCCAACTGGTATTGGGCGTGTCCAGGCCACGTTCCATTCCCCAGCAGACGCTGTGTGGCAGGATCGTTGAGCAAACTGTTGCACGCCTGCCGACCATTGAGTAATAAACGTCAGCCGCAAGCTTATCATACCCTCTGTGCCCGTCTACCCAAGTGGGTAGAGTGAGTGGGTGCGAGTGCAGGTCCATTAGAGGCTAAGCATGTCGAAAATCT